TGTTGATTTAGTTGTAATAGTTAAAAATAATTTGTCTCCTGTTGTATCACCTGGTAATATTACTACTGTAATATCATTATTATTATCTACACTATTATTATTATTATTATCAATGTTGTTGATTGGAAAACTTTCGGTAGTATTACTTCTAAAAGATGATCTCGACTTCAAAGCATCTGGAGCAACATAATAACAAGGTAGAAATAAGGTTGCTCTTTTGGTTGTACCAAATAAAAGAAATATTATTATTCCTCTATTTTTTTTTAAAAAAAACAAAAACTTGATTAATCACAATTTTTTTATAAAAAAATAAAAAAAGAAGCTAAAAGTCACGACACGTACAATGTAGAATTAAATAAAGTACTACTTGAATGTAATAGTATATCACCCTCATCGTATTTGGTTACTTTTTTTTCGAGGAGCTTCATTATAGAACCAACTATTAATAATAGTGTATAAATGGTTGTGAAGCAGTAGACACGTGTTGCGTGTCCTAGTTTTATTGCTGTCACGCGATTTTGGTTACTATTAAAGATTCTCCATTTTTTCCATAATATTATCCCAGAATGGACTAGTAATTATGATGGTGATGGTGACGACGGCGAAAAAGATAGCATTAATTTATGTATAATATAGAGTATTAGTTATTTCAATAATTTATCCGACAATTTTAATAACTTACATGTAACCACGGTACTGAAAATTAATAAAATAGTAGTTGGTATTAGATAACCATAAAATTGAAGATCATCAGAAGTAGAGGCACAAGTTAAAGAAGTAGGGACACTTCCCCAATTCTCTTCACTGCTGGTATGAGCAATTGTGAACACGTTATAAAAAACTGAATAACTCCAAATTATGACTGAAAAATATAATGAACACTTTTTCTCTATCTCGGTATTTCCTTTAGTCAGCGCATACCAAAGATAAAATAAAAGGGTAAATGAGAAAAATTGTAAAGAGATTAGGGAAAATAATGCCAATTTTTGTTGCAACACACATAAAACTATTGAATAATTGAGGATGTTGGTTATATCGTTTCCGTATATTAGTACTGCAGGTAGTTTTATTGCTCCATTGAATAACGCTAATGCGTAAATTTGAAATAATGTCCATTTTGTAAAATACGGTTTTGATCTTAGTGCTGATATTATTAGTATCATCAAGAGAGATATGCTTAATAACTGTAATGTGATAAATGTGATTTTATCTGTTGAATATTCTGGCATGATAAATTAATTGTTGATAAATGAATGTGCATAGGTAAATGATAGATATTTTATTTTATTTATTTTGTTTCAAAAATTTTTTTAAAAAACAGAACAAGAATAATTTTAAAATTTTTAATTTTAAAACAAAAAAAACACGATTTTATATTTTGTTGTTAGTTGCACCAATTAAATGAATTTAATAAAATTTCTATTTCTGGTTATTTAATTCGAATATTCGTCATCTATTATATAGAATAAATATTTTAAAACAAAACGGATTTTGGGTTTATTTATAATGAGAATTAATATACGAGCTTTATATATGTTACCAACTAAGGTTTCAATATTATGTTACCTAATTTCATTATAATCTTCATCCTTATTTATTGTTTATTATTATTAATATCTATCTCTTCGCTTCCGATATATATGGTATACATAATATAAATAATACTACGCATTCGCAGAAAATATTCCAGAACATCTTAAAATGTAACATCTTGCTCGATAACAGACCAAATTCAAAAGTTTCAGATTTATTTTAAGAAATACGGAAATTGCATCACAATTTATTATTTATATTAATGTTATTCTGATATTAAAAATCGTGTTGGAAAATCTAATAATAGTATTAACCATTTTAATTAGTATCTATGAGTTAATGACAACCATCAATCCAATCATCTAAATCTTGAACCAAACGATCGGTATTGTAAAACATTAGTGCCACATTGTCGAGTTTTTTCTCATTTTATTATTATTATTATTATTATTGTGTTAAATAACCGAGGTTTCTCGAAAAAGAAACGGCTATTTCATTTGAATGACAATTACGATTTACTAATTATAGTCTTTTTTGAAAATATTGGTTTGAAAAAAAGAACCATTTAACAATTGGACCATCTATATATTTCAAATAAGGGTTAGAACATAAAATAAAATAAAATTGTAATAAAAATTATGTCAATGTAATAATACTCCCCTAAAAAAAAAGTATATAATCAGCAAAAATAGTTGCATAGTAAATATAAATAATCACTCTAAAATATCACATTGGACTGATTGTTATTATTATTAATTTTTTAGAAAAAGTTGAACTTGGAGTTATTTTAAGATATCATGCTTTAACACATCTTGAGAACTTAGAAACGTTGTTCCATTGGTTCCTCAAATATATACATATAAAATTTCATGATTATTTGTCAAATGTTCATGGAGAATTAATATTAATAAAACGTAATAAAGAATTTTTATGCAATGTGATTATAATTATGCATGAACAAACCTTAAACAATAATTGCGGCTGAAATGTCTAACCAAAACTTGTTTTTGTTTTTATTGAACTTTCAATTTGTTATTTTAATTAACGGACTCTGGACAAGGAAGAATAATTGGATATTAGGAAGCAGGCGAAAACACTCGTGACATTGCTGGTGCACTCAATCATTCTCAGTCACAGGTAACTCGTGCAATAAAAGCATTTAAGTCCAAGCTACTATTTCTCCCCCAAAAACACAAATGATTTAGTTTCTTATTTAATGTAGACAGCATGCCTTGAAGGGTTCAAGCTGAAAGGAAATATTGAATAAATGAATGAAATATTTATAATTTTTGATTCTTTTGATGTAAATTCAATAAAGATTTGACGTAAAATATTATACAAATTGTGAATTAAAAATTTTACGTTTTCTATTAATATTAATTCTCATGAAAATTTATATGCACAGTACATATTTGAGGACTAATGGAACAACATTTTCTAAATTCTCAGGATGTGTCAAACCATGTTATCTTAAAATTACTTTTTCTAAAAAAATTTTTAATTTGTCCTTTAATCATCAGTCCAACGTGATATTTTGGAGTGTTATACAAATCCATTACTTAAACATTAAGGGTGGAACCGTTTACTTGAAATTTTAATTTTCAATTCTTGGGGATGCTATAGAAATGCCGGTAATTGTCCTATTTCTTGGCAAAGATTTTAATAATGCTTAGTATTAGCGTTAAAAAATCAAGTGATCCAAATATTTAGTACAAACTCGCATTTGTACAATTCAAACCGGAAAAGTTGACGAACTTATCTTAGAAGCCTTCATCTTCAAATTGAATCACGCATTAAATAGGAAACTTAATGTAGTTTTCATCCATCAATAATCGAAAATTTATATACTTGTTTAAGGAATCATTATCTTCAATTGGAAAGTGTTCATGTTGTGCTGAGCAATCGAGTCATATTTATTCAATGATTACTAAATTAGAATGTTTACCCTTATTAAATTAGTTTAAAAGGAAGAAAGTAATAAGTTAAAATATTGATGTCATGTCGGATAGACAAGGAAATCTTTCTTCTTTTTGTATTATATAATTTTATAAGAATAATCTTTCATTCTAGAACAAATAATATTAATATTTTCGGAATTAATTGTTCTTTCTATCTCAACCCCCCGAATGATTGTTGGTAACAAGTCTAATTAGCTGAAGAAAAATTCATTTACTATACGTAAATGATTAATGTATTCCTTTTTAATGAAATCCATACATATCATAAACCTCCTGATTTAAAAGTTTAGTGTTTATTCGATCGAATACCAAGTTCCGAAACTTGCATATAGTTGCAAATCAGAAGCTTATAACTTGTCGTTCGTTTTCAAGATGTTGTACAAAGAGGATTTAAATGATCCTTTTGCTATACTTTTCTATATAAAGTTTGGTTGGAACCAACCAGCACATGATTACCTTTTAAATATCATTAACTTTTTTTTGATCACGATATCCGGTTGGTTAAAATTAATGATGGTGCTATTGATCAGATATATTTTATTATTATTACAGTAACAGTTCTATTTATATAGGCTTCCGCAGTAAATGCCACTGGCAGAGCAAAAAAACACCTGTTGATTTGACAAGATGAAATAAAAATAAATATTCTAATTAATAATGATTATTATCTTGCTATGATGAAAGAGTTAACCGAGTTAATTGTAATCTTTGTGAAGGAAGCTACAAATAATGATCAAACTATTTGTGTTGTCGCAACTGTTGTAACAAAGTTGAAATTAAAATAGTAACGACAACAATAATAATGATTATGAAGTTATAATAATCACCGACTGTTTCAAAGCTTGATTTAATTTTCGTGGTAAAAAAAGAATTTTTTTTTTTAATATAATTTATCCATAAAAATTTTTTTTGGGGCCGTAAGCTTATAAAGCTTGTGCCAATAAGCTGATTACTGATAGGCTCGATAAGCTAATAAGCCAATAAGCTTAAGCCAATGGAATCTATTGCTATTTGAATTTCATATGAGCATTACATTAAGAAAAAAGAGAAAAAAAAGGCTACACCGATTTTATTTAATACCACATATGGAATGATCATTTTGTATTGTGGCTCTTGCTTATTGATTTGGATATGTTATTTTTTTTGGAATTGGTAAAGAAAAATCAAAACTTGATTCTATTTTTTTTACTAATTCCATATTTTCATTTTGTATATCAACCTTTTAAATAAAGGTAGGTTAATGTATATGTAATATATATATTTACTAATTAATTAATTAACTAATTAATTAATTTACCTCATCAAGATAATTTCCAAATAACATTGATCTTTCCGATATATGCTTGCTTATATCTTTACTTGACGAATCCTCATCCATATTTGTTGTGTCTGTTATCATTTCTATTAAAATACCTATAAACATATAATTAAAATTATATTTATAAAATATTAAATTCAATAAAAGAAAAAAATAATTTTCTAATGTTCAGATTAATATTCTTACTTGATGCTTCATTGAATTCAACTCCATCCATCAACGTTGACTCTTTTTTAGTTTGATCGTCTATTTCATTAGGTTGTGCTGGTTGATCATATATGCTTGATAATAAAACTTTACTTCTTTTAGAATCGGATATTAATCTTGCTAAATCAATAAGATTCATTCGAACAATTGGTGGTACTACTGTTCTACAGCATGCAACCAAATCTCTTGGTTCATCTGGCATCCTCTCTGATAACGCAAAAAGTAATTCATCCGGCATTACATAACTATATGTAACAATAAGTAAAATATTATTAATAATAATACTTTACCGGCCTGCAATATCAATTCTGCGAATAGCATAAGGCAAAGAAAATTCTTCATACACTGGTACAGCATGAGTTACACCATCACCGGAATCAAGGACTATACCAGTTGTTCGACCTGAAGAATAACTAGCGTAAAATTTTTTTTTATAAACAAAAAATTTTTAACTTTTTTTAAAAAAAATGGTTATCTCTCTCTCTCTCTCTCTCTCTCTCTCTACATTTATACTTACAGACTCAAGACAGCTTGAATTGATGTGAACAAAGCTGGTGATTGAACGTTCAAAAAACATTTGTGCAGCAGAATCTTATTGTTTCTTAAATTAAATGGAGCTTCAGTCAAAAGGACTGGATGCTAATAAACAGAAACCATTGTAATTAATTTCATGTGCTTGTTCACGTTATTATATTATTATTATAATAATAATAATAATAATAATAATAATAATATCCATACTTCTTCTGGAGCAGTTTTTAATTCTTCCTCATAAATATATTTCCATATAGATACGATTCCATGTTCAATCGGATACTTTATTTTGATAAGTCCTCGTAATTCTTGAGCTTTACGTTCAATAAAAACATTACCTTCTACAGCACCTGCCATAATAAGTACATGTTTTGGACGCCCAAGATTTTTTTTTTAAAACATTCAAATATTAAATGTTTTTTTAAAATACATACATACATATATATAATAGTCTTATTTGAATTTAATAAATAATGCATACTATGAGGGAATAAGACATTTCGGTTGATCGTCACCAGCGAAATCAGCTTTAATCACCCCAGAACCCTTAAGAAGAATAATAAAATGAAATGAGAGAATTATTCTACCATTACTTGTATGATATACATCTCTTTTATGTACATACATTATCGATCACAACAGGTTGATTAGTCAAAACGTCCTCGTATTCCATATTTGCATGATTTTTTTTGTTTCAATGTAATACACACAATTAGGAGATCTATAAAGTTTGAACTTGCGGAAAATAAGGGATGCTAGAAAAGCACAGGGGACAGGGATCTGCAAAGAAATTTTAATAAAATAAAATAATTTATACACAATAATTTATTTTTTTATATTTTTTCTAATTCTACTACTACAATGAACTATAGAGGTGTCAATTTTAGGTCTAAAGTGAAATACATTCATGTAATAAAATAGTTGCAAGTTGCAATGAATTTAATTAACTACCTTTATATTCTTTATTAGATGAATCAGGTTCAGGCTCCTTTTGAATTGTTTCACCATCTTCAACTTCATTGTTAGTATTGTAATATTGATGACCTTTATCCCAAAAATATTCAATTACTAGAAAAAATGCATGATATATTAAATCATTTGATAAGTGACAGGAAGGCATCAAATTTTTTTTATAGAAATTTTACCCACACTCTATTCCTGACAGGGTTTCTTCATTGGGATTTTTTATATTATTTTGTTTAATTTTTCCAGGAAGGTTTCTGCAAATAAAATGTTATTTGTTTATTAATTATTTTATTGATTATTTTATTAATTAATTGATCATTTCATTATAATACTAACTTGCTTGGTTATTAGAATAAATAGAGTGACTATTAGAATCCTTTAATTTATAAGAAACCAATACAGTTTATAGTTTATTTCCTGATAAAGAAGTCAAACCTTTCGATTCTAATACTGCCATTCCTTCATTTGTCATCATATTTATAAACACCACTTTGATCATTAAAGCTTCAAATTACTTTGCTGTAGAAATGCTGCCCACTTGATGATGTGCTATATACACATGCTGTCAATATATATTCTATAGGGATGTTATTTTTTTTATAAGAAAGTTGAAAGGGAAGTCTAATTGATGAGATGAATTATAATTTTGGTCATCTCTTTGAGTTATTTCAAATATTAAGGTATGTGGTCAAAAGATTATATATTCTTCATAGGATATTTCTTGATTAATACATTGATAAAGATTTGCATGGTCATAAGGACAAGGCTGATCTGGAAATATTTTACTAATTAATTGATTCTTTTCTGCAAATAATGCAGAGACTTGACCTATTAGATTTGGATTATCCTCAAAAAAAGAGCTACCAAACTCATCAATTCCATTTATTGGAAATAGTGATTTAATAGGTGTTGGAGAAATTTTGATATGGCCAGATTTACATAACCATATTCATAATCCAAGGAGCATAGTGGACATTTGATTTCATTGGCTAAATTATGTGACGATCTCCCCTCCAGATATCACGCAAAAATTAGCATAGTAGAAATTTGAAATGTTACACTAATTTTTATATTGTGCAACATAGCTTTACAATACACAGCAAACATTCTGGCAATAAAAAGTAAGTGATAACTGGATTTGAATTGGATCTGAACTTGATCTCCAATTTAGAGAGGCAACAACTATATACCGGAGAAGTTTCAGAAGCAATGAGTTCTGTATAACGTTTCGTGTAACAACAAACTTCCACTATGCTGCAAAAATTAAATTTTATTGGCTTGAAGATCATTACGCAAATTTGAAAAACAAATATTAATATCGGAGGGAAGGAAATTTAGTTCCAAATTGATAAAAATAAAATGTTTATAATAAATAAAAAAATTAATATAGTATTTCTTTATTGAATGTTTTAATACATAGGCTTGGTTTTTTGTTATAAAGTCTAATATATT